TTTATGTCAACATTGACCTGACCAGTAAGTATTTCTAAATAAATAAAAAATTTTTTTTTCTATTTAGATTTATTTCAGCATCGATCTGACCAGTAAGTATTTTTAAATAAATAAAGAATTTTTTTCTTTATCTAGATTTATTTCAACATCGATCTGAATGGTAAGTATTCCTAAATAAATAAATGTTTGTTTTCTGTTTAGGTCAGTCTCAGCAATAAAATGAAAGATAAGTATTATTTTATAAAAAAAAAAGACAATTTTATAAATTTAGGGCCTTTTCGAACGACATGGGATGGTGCTGATTAGTTTGGCGGAATGCACCAATTCTTTTTTTTATCAGGTGGTTTGGATAGTGTATCGGATAAATATGATTTTTTACCAGTTATAGTACTCGAGTACTATAACTGGTAAAAAATCATATTTATCCGATACATTATCCAAACCACCTGATAAGAAAGAATTGGTACATTCCGCTAGACTAATCAGCGCCATATATATATCGCGTCTCAAAAAAACAGAAAGCTGATGAGTGCAGTATGCATACTGCGCGTAATATCTGATTTAACTACAGAAACCTAGCAGAATTCCGTCAGATCCTGTACTTTTCAAAATCTTCCCATAGTCGGATCCAACATCCGACAACTTCCTGTCTAATTTGACGGGATCCGAGCCTAGTTTTGCTCGTCCTGGAACTCTATCCGAATACGAAGTAGTATTTAGTGACGCAAAAACAGACATATAGGACCTGGTAAATACAGTCGTAAACGTCTGAAAACGGTGGATTTCAGACACTAAACGGAGAGAAAACGGTATTAATACGACTCATCGTAATTCGACGGAAACGGCATGAAACGGCGCCGTTTCCGTTCCGGCGAAACACGTTCCGTAATCTGGTATGACGGATTACGGCCCCAAAACCGGTGGAAAAACGGCCCTTTTCTCGCGCCGTTTACGGCAGGAATTACGCCGTTTTACAGCCGTTTCATGCCTTATACGGCGCCGTTCCAGATGGTCGGAATGATCGACCTGGGTAAAAGAAAATTATTATTTAACAATTTAATTCATAAAAGAATCGACAACTCATACGGTTCTCAAGTCTACAGACATTTAGCTGTAAGTCAAAGAGGTCTATAACAGAATTCACTGAAACAGTTTAAGACACATTTGTGTCTATGTGCTCATGTGTCTTAGAATAAAACAGTTCATGCGTCTAAATTAGACTTAAGACGGATGAAACGCCTTGTTAGACGCATGGCATTTTTTAGAATGCATTGTCTTCTACCGATTATTCATCGTTCTCTTCTTTGGGTCATCACATAATGAGCATCGGCGGGCCAATAGCAAAATATTTGGTGTGGCAATAATAATTTTCGGTGCGGCAATTGCTGGAAAAAATCGTTTTAGGGATCAGTTTTTGTCAAATTATCGGTTATTCCGAATATTTTTGCTGTGGCAACTGCCACATTTTGCCGTGCTGGTGGTCCGCCGACGATAATGAGTCATGCTTTTGTAATCAAAGAAAAAATTCCTTACGTCACTCTTGTGTTCTTTTACGTTTTATATATAGTACACGTAATATAAGTGAAGAAAATCGTCAGATTTTCTCGCTTGTTCTAGTTGAACTATATAAAATCATTTTTTTTAAATGTGAACAAATTAATTCTTGAATTTTACAGTTAAACATTGTTTGATAATTGATTGGCATAGGAATTTGTATTCTACTAGTTGAAATCGTTATTCTTGTTAAAGAAAAAAAAAAAGATGTCACTATTAATTGATGTTAATTGGAACGAAGAAAATCATTGGTGTTCTTATATAAACAAAACTACATGACGGTATTAAATAAATTGATATCGAATAACGAACATAGATCGGTTAAGTGACGTTCAAGACAAAAACAAAAAAAAATGGTCGATCAACCTCATCTTCATCGTTCTGCTGAAATTGAAGATTTAGCTCATCTAACACAAGAAGATATAAATAAACCACTTGTTGATAATAAACAAAAGTCAAAACAAGCATTAATTATTGTTGATATTCAAAATGATTATTTTCCAGGTGGTAAATGGACTCTTAATGGTATGGATGCTGCTGCAGATAATGCAGCTCGATTAATATCAGCAGCACGTTCTACTGATGATTTAATTGTTCATGTTCGTCATGAATTTCCAACAAGTGATGCACCATTTTTTGCACAAGGATCAGTTGGTGTTCAAATTCATTCAAAAGTACAAAATCGTGAAGATGAACATGTTATTGTTAAAAACCATATAAATGCATTCCGTGATACAAAACTTAAAGAAATTCTTGATCGTAATGGTATTCGAAATCTTATTATATGTGGTGCAATGAGTCATATGTGTATTGATGCTATAACACGTGCTGCACATGATTTTGGATATAATTGTATTGTTATTCATGATGCATGTGCATCTCGTGATCTTGAATTTAATGGTATTAGAATTCCAGCTGAATATGTACATGCTTCTTTTATGGCTGCACTTGAATTTGCTTATGCTAAAACTATTTCTACTCAAGAATTTCTTAAACAACAAAAATTTCAAGATTAAAAATTTTCCAAAATTTTGTCAATTTTACTTTATTCATATTAAAATAAACTAAAATATTTAATAAGAAATCTCATGCTTTTTTTTTTCGTTTCTTGTGTGTGTATTAAAATTTAGAAATAGAATATCATAAATTGTCAATAATGAATAGAATTTATTTTGATAAATGTCATTCACAATTTTAATGATAAGTAGTTTGTCGTATTTTAATTTCGCTTTTCTTTTCTCTTTATTTCAATTCATTTAGAAATAAAACAACAATATTTATATTTTACTTTATCATTTTCGTTAACTACTTTTTCTTTATCAATATTCATCTTTTCTTATTACATGATAATAACCAATTTGCTCTAATACAGCAAAAAAAACACGACTATCAACAAAGTCTATTTAAAGAACTTAATGATGAATTAATAATGCATAATATTCTTTGATATTAAAAGCTTCTTTCATTTTATTTTTAATTATAAAATAAATAAGAAGAAATCATCAATTTTAAGCTAAGAATGAAAACAAAATTTGGCATATATCTAAGACAATTCAACGAAAATAAATAAAAAATTTTCTTTTTTTTTTATGATCAAAGATATTTGGCATGTGACATTTTATTGCTGATCTAGAATTTTAATGATTGTTTTTGACTAGCAATAGTAATATAAGCTGATAAGAAAAAAATTCTACTAAGTCAAGTCAATAAAACTTGTAATAAATAATTTATCATCGTCTTTATAAACCTTTGAATAAAAGGTATTTGCCCGTTATTTATACAAGTGTTGAATATTGATGACGATTCATTTCCGTGGTACTTTCATGATGATCCGAACAATATTGTTCATTGGAATTCTATTAACATTTGTTAGTTTAATTCCTAGAGTAACAGGAATGACAATCAATAAAGATCAAATTGTTAATTCAAAACAATTATCTAATGTTCGATATGCATCTGAAATATATATTGATGATGTTATGAAACATTTGGATGAATTACAAAATATTGCAACAGCTTCTAATGGAAATCGAGCTGCTAAAACTATTGGTTTTAATCAAACACTTGATTATATAACAAATTATCTTTCATCAAATACAAATTTCAAAATAACACAAACTTTTTTTAATTTACGAAATTTTCAACTTCTTCGTAATCCAACATTTTCATCAACAATTGATGGAATTGTTAAAACATATACTTATTCAACTACTCTTTCATTAGCAGATTTTTATCATGTTCAATATTCAACATCGGCTAATATAAATAACAATGTTCTTCTTACAGCTATTCCTAATTTAGGTTGTTCAGATGCTGATTGGCTTGCAGCACGTCCATCTCCTACTGGTATTGTTGCACTTGTTAAACGGGGAGATTGTAGTTTTGAAGAGAAAGCTATTCTTGCAACTAAATACAATGTTGCTACATTATTAATTTATAATGATGGTACAACATCTGGTAATATGCAACCAATTTATATAAATCTTGGTCAAAATAATCGTGTGCCAGCACTTTTTCTTTCATATAATGTTGGTCAATCACTTGCCATTGCAGCAAATGATCCATCAAAAGTTACAACTGTTCGTCTTACGATTGTGACTGATAATGCATTAAATCCTGTTGGAAATATTTGTGCTGATACGTTAACAGGTGATCCAACTCAAACAATTATTATTGGTAGTCATAGTGATAGTGTTACTGCTGGACCAGGTATTAATGATAATGGTATGTTCAATTAAAACATTTCATAGTCATGTATATATATACATTGTGTTTTGATTTCTATTTTTACAGGCAGTGGTACTGCAACTAATCTTGCTTTAGCTGCTACTTTATCACGTCTTTTACAAACATCAGATTATGTTCCTTATAAATATCGTATTCGATTTTGTTGGTGGGGTGCTGAAGAATTAGGTCTTCTTGGTGCTAATTTTCATGTTTCAGAAGCAAAAAAATCAACTGTAGTTGGTGAACGAATAAACGACTATTTAGTCAATATTAATTTAGATATGTTAGGATCACCAAATTTTATATTCGGTATTTATAATGGTGCAACAGCTCCAACTAATACTCCAGCAGCTGCAAAACCAGGAAGTAACAAAATGACAACATTATTTAAAGATTGGTTTATTGCAAAGAACTTTCCTTGGGATTATACAAAATTTGATGGTCGTAGTGATTATGGTCCATTTTTAGCTGCTGGCATTTGCGCGGGTGGACTTTTTTCTGGGGCTGACGGATTGAAGACAGTAGAACAACGTAATCGATATGATGCTATGCTTGGAGCAGGTCTTGGAGGAACTTCAGGAATTCGACAAGATAAATGTTATCATCTATCATGTGATAGAACGACTAATATCAATAAATTTGCTCTTGATAAAATGGTACAAGCTACGGCAGATGCTATTGAAAGTATAGGTCAACAACCTGATTTAGAAAGTTGGTTATATCCTACGAGAGAAATTCAAGAACTTAGTAAACAAACACCACAACCAAAATTTGCATACAATTCCATTAATGAATATTTTGGTTTACCTTATAATTAACATTTTCATTTTGAACTTTTTTTTTTTTGATTCATAATATTGAGATCATATTTCTTCAGAATATATAATATTATTATAATTCTCTATTCAATTTAATACTTGAAATTTTTATTTCAAATTTAAATAAAGACAAAAACAAGTGATTAGATTTATATCTATATTTTTTTTTATCATCAATTGAATAAAAAAAAAATCATCTTTTTTATTCTGACATTATTAATAAGAACATCATTCTTAAGTCAAGAATTTTAAATCTCATTGAATCTGTATGTTATATGGCAAAATTTTAATAGTTCTTACTTCATTCGATAAACACTGGAGACGAAAAATGTCAAAAAGTACAATATCGTAAAAAACAACTAATGCTTTTTTCTATAAGTTGACAGCTATAAAAAGTGTTTTTGAAAGTTTGCTATTCTACATTCACTAGTGATGATAAGTGGCTATCATAATTACCATTATTTTTAATAAATTGATTATTAGAATCCGTACGAACAGTAGCATTACATATAAACTCTCGACAAATTCAATACTTTAATTTTACAAGCTTACATCAAATACGATTATACATTTGTTGCTTTTGACGAAAGAAATACCTCTTGGCTTGTAAAGTTGAATAAAATAAATTCTTCTTTATCGCAGTAAATAATTTAATGGTCGCACATATCTTTAGAAATAAATATATTTTGTAATGATTATGTACCTGAGAATGCATATAGAAGATAAGCATTTTATTGATGCTTTGTCTTATGATCGACCAAACAAATATTTCTTACAATGAATTCATTCGAATGCAAGCGAATAATGCAAATGTTATTTAAATAATCTAAATGATTTTTTTTCTCCGAAGAGGTTATTTTATAATACGGATTAGTATAGAACTCAAGATTAGTTTATGTGAACTATATTTGCTCAAGCCTATTAGAAGTTGGAACTAAGGCTCTTATTTCCTGTAAGCACGCTAATATTCATATAATAAAGTAGTAGCACGCATACGAAAGGAAATATATATATAAATGGGTAATAAGAAAGAAAATTTTATGAGCAAAAATAGAAACAAAAGTCTTGCTCATGACGAAAAGAAGAATTATCTAAAAAAATGCATGAACTATTATGTACATGCATCAAATTTTTTTAATATTAGTTTTTAGGAAAAATTTTCTATTTAAAATAGAATGGCGAAATGTTATTGTATTTGATTTGAGACTATTGAAATTTCAATTAGATAGACTCAGATATTTGGCAAAAATAAAACATTTTACATCACATATCGCATTTTCAAAGTATTATTTCAGCAATATGAAATTATCGTAGTGTCAATACTGGAATCAATATTATTTTTTAAATGTACTGCAACGCAAAGAATTTAATTCTAAGTTTCAAAATGATAAAAACTTTCACAATAATAAAGTAATTAAATGCTTTTATTCAGCACAGTTATTATTGTATTATATATAATTTCATAATTTAAAGAGTCATTTGTTGACCATATTATATTTTTCTTCTAAGACTGTTTTATGAAATCTTGGTGATTATTCTCTTATATCGAATTTAATCATTTGATTTTCTATTGGGACGGTTTCGATAAGCTTATAATTATCTTTTAATATCATCTTTAAATAAATTTGTAGTCGGTAGTCATACTGTGACATTTTCTCTATGGTCTAAAATTGTTCTTCTATAAATTGAAATCAAGTTTAATCAACCTCTGATTTTATTATTATATATTCATGATAAAATAAATTTTTTTTTCGACGCTCAAGCTTCACCTCTTAGAACAATTGAAAGATGATATGAATATTTTCATGAAGATCGAAAAGACATTGAAGATGAAGAACAATCTAGCAGACCTGTAATTCAGATCATATCTTTCATAATCACTATTTAATGTCAACTATAATCTTTTTAAGCTTATGATGATCGGAGATTATTTGTTTAATGATGTCATGATTCAGATTAGTTTATACTTGAAATTCGTCAAATGTAATATGAGAATTACGATTAATAAGGTAATGAATGTTGTTCAATTACAGATACGCTGGACCGTGCTCGCAACCTTTACGAAGTCATGCATATCATTTTTCAATTGTTCTAACAAGGAAACCTCTTCAGGTGCTAAAAAGCTTTTGAGTTCAAATATTGCCTATAAGTAGGGAATGTATAGACTAGAGAAAATCTAAGAGCATATGGGCACAAATTACGATTTGGCTGAAATATCGACTTTTTACTATAATCTTCCTATAAGATTCGTTTTATCGGATAAGTCGCGTTCTATACGAAGATTGTAGTAAAAAGTCGACATCTCAGCTAAATCGCAACTTGTGCCCATATGCTCTTAGAGTTTTTTCTAGTCTATACATTCCCTGCTTATGGGCAAAATTTGAGTTTAAAAGCTTTTTAGCACTAAAAGAGGTTTTCTTGTAAGAGTGGTGCATTTCAGGACACTGAAATTTTGTTCAAATTCACTCATTTTTGCATCGTCCTCGAGAAAAAATCTGCCACGATAATGCTGCTAAAACATCTTCCTCACCACTGCTGCACCGTGATGGTTATTTTAAAAAAATCTGCCACCGCCATGGACATCTCTGCTACACATATCCAAAAGAATTTCTTCAAATGAAAGAATGATTCATCGACAGTATATACTTTCACACTCATTAAAATATCATCCTTCAACAACACTAACAAGTTCTAATTTCCATTATCCATAAAAAAAAAAATTTATTTTTCTCAATCATCTATTATTTCTCATTATCCTCAAAATTCATTCATGAATCGAATAACAAATAAAGCAAAAATATTTATCGTTCAATATCACCAATTGTTGTAAAAATTTCTTCAACAATAATACGTCCATCAGTTACACCTCGTATCCTCAACATTACGAAATATTTATTTAAGAAGTATTAATTTACCACAATCTACAGCTGATTATGATCATTATGACATGGATAGAATATTCTAGACTTGTTATACGACATACAAAAAATAATTGATTCAATGAAACAATTATTTCCAACATGGTTTAAACGATAGTTTTCAGATACTGAACGAAATGTTCTCCTTTTCCTAAAAGATATTTACCGAAACAGAATGGAATTCTCTACAAATTCAAATTAATTTTAACATTTACTAACATTTTTAAGCTCTGAAGAATGAATTTTTCTCAGTATCCTGTTTGTTCCATGCAAAGGACTACTTTCTATCAAAAAACAAAGACATATAATACGTTTTATTTACTGTTAAAAAATTCTTGAGAAACTTTCTAAAGTATCAAAGTCAATAAAGTTTTTTAAGGAATAATTTCTCATCTATTTAGTTTTCAAGAAAAACTTTTTCTTCAAATTCTAAAAATAAAACAACATGTGATGTAAAAGTAATGACACAAAATGTTGATCTCTATTTCTCTTCAATAAAAGGATACTGAAAGAAAACACTTTTTTCACGAAACAATAGAGCTTTTTCTCTTCTTTCGAATCGTATATAATTTATTTGTATAACATGTTCATCAACGAAACGATGCCACATATAAGAGAAGCACTCTTAGAAAGAATCCGCATTTGTTCTATAAAAGGACCACAGAATATGTCGATCGGTGAATTCCTGTTTCCTTGAAATCTTAATTGAATTTCCTGTTTTGTCAAAGAATTAAATTGTAATGAAAAATGCAGGACCAAAGCAACTAGCTTAATTGCTTTGATCGTCTTGAAAAATACTTTTTCTAAAGAAACTGATTAAGTGTGTAGATGAAGATATGGATGTGGACATTCTGTTCGCGCAAATCCACATCCACTCCTACACTCATACATACTCTACAAAACAAACATTAATATTAGAAGAATATCTTGAAAAAATTATGCGATTAATGAATATTAAAAAAACTATTGATTTTTTTTGTTTTTCTACACATGTTTTCTTCTCTAATATCTTCGGTATGCGTACCTAATACTGTTTTTTAATAAACTTTTTTGAAAAAGACCTTTAAAATAATTAAGCATTATCTTTGATTTGTATATTTAAAAAAAATCTTATCAAAAAGAATAATCCACTCTCTTCCTTTTCAGTGCAACTTCATTTTTCGATGAAACGGAATCTAATCGTATGATTCATATTTATCACACATTGGTAACTGAAACGAAAAGAGAAATATTTGCGAAACAAATTTCTAATTTTTATATGAACTTGTCAACAACATTTTTTTAGAAAACAATTAATTCGATTTTTTATCGACTCATTTAAATGTTCGTTACTAAACGGAGAAGCATGGATTCAGATTTCGGCAAATAATTTTGCATCGTAGAACGTTTAATAAATATTTCGAAAGATTCGTAGAATATTACCTAATAACACTCAATGACGTAGACCATAGGAAAAAACAACCTTGTTTTTTTGTTTTTTTATCATAAACAAGATGCTAAACATGACAAATAAAATCAACTGTACTTTATTTCTTTCGGCAATATTTGAATGCCAGCGTGTACATGTAATTGCGCAAAACTTAGAAGAAAGAAAAAAAACTTCGTCATGAAATAATATCACGTCGCAGGAAGGGACTTATGTATAAATATTCTATTAAATTCTGTTATTGATATTGAAAAAAAATGATACAAGATATTACAAATTCATTGACAAATACAAATCAAAAACCAATAATAGCTCTTGATTGTGATGGAGTTCTATTGGATTATCATACAACTTTTGCGCAAATTTATGAAAAAACATTTAGAAAACAATTAACAATTGTTTCACCTAATTCTTATCATGTAAGTTTATTTCTATTTATTTGAAAATATCTTTGATTATATTATATATATATATATATACAAGTCTAGAGATATGTATGGTGTTCAGTTTACTGATGAAGAAAAAATTGAATTTAATAAAATATGGGATGAATATGGTTGGAAAACAATGCCTATGTATGATGGATCACTTCAAGCATGTCTTTTATTACATCAAGCTGGTTATGAATTAGTTTGTGTTACAGCAATGCCTCCTCAATTTGTTGAACATCGATTAGAAAATTTTCGTTTACATGGATTTCCTATTGATAAAGTTATTAGTTCTGGTTATGATAAAGACAATTTTAATAATAATCCAAAGAGAAAAATTATTGAAGATTTACATCCAATTGTATTTGTTGATGATTTAAGAAGAAATTTTAAAGATATTCAACAAGTTCATACAAAATTTATTTTTATTGATAATCAATATCATGACGATCCAAATCAACATGATCAGATTTATTATGATATTAAATATTCAAGTCTTTTGGAATTTGCTCAAGATTTTCTTAAAACTGAACAACATGGACAAGATATTAGTTGGCATCAAAGACCAGATTTTCTTCTTCCTTCAAATTGATTTTATATTTTATTGTTTTTTAAAATGAGAAATTTATTTTCTTTCTCAACTAATAAATTAATCATTTTTATATTTATTTTCATTCAGTTAATCATTGAAAAATATTCATTTCTGACGGGTCAACTGAGTGCACATTTAGTGTTATTGCTTGCACTTACCTCTATTGATTCTTGTTCTGTAACTACTAAGGGTGTGGGTAGTCTGTGGGTGTTGGTATTAGCTTTGCTCTCATAAAAGCCACACCTACACCCACATCCTCGATAAAAAATTAAGTCGGTGGATCAAATCTTCTCGATAGGTTTTTTAATTTTTTAAAACAAAAAAAAACGCGTTTCGCAACGCTGGAAGAAAATGACATAAGAAGTTCTCAAGAAAAACTTTTCTTACAGTTGTAAAAATAAAAACTGTGAAATGATGTGTATTTCGCAATGTTTCACAATGTTTATTTTCCGAGGTGATAAACGCGTTAATGCTGGCCGCTTTAATGCGTTTCATGGCTTGTAATTAAAACGATGCGAAACGTTGCTAGAGACTTACCGTTTTCATGCATTTCCTTTACAAGGTATGAAATGTGTTAAACCGACCAGCATTAACGTATTTCACAGTGATGGAAAAACGCGTTTTTTTTCACAGAAAATTACACCATGGGAAGTCTATAATATGACTTAATATTTACTAATTAATTGATTATATCTATTTGAGTGCACATAGTCAGCTGGCTATGTACACTCGAGTGTACATAGACACTTCCTCTATTTTTATGAAAGAAGGATACGATTTAATAATCAATACACCAAAACCTCCCATAGTGGACATTTTTCAAAGTCTCAGCTATCAATTTTTTGCTGGAAATAAATCTCTCTATAGTAGACACCGTCATATAGTTCTTTGGTGGACACTTTCAATAGGTCTCAATAATGTCCATGGCAGGAAAATTTTACTATATTTTAATAGCTGTTAATTTTCGGAGAAAAAAGGATGAAAAGAGAACTTTAGCAGTACCTAGTTATTGTGTTCACTAACACCCTTCAGATAATGAGAAAACTAGTTTGTTTCTTGTAAAAAAATTCTGGTTTTAGAAAAAACGTAACCTTCCAATAGTGGACACTTTTGAAAAGTCCGCAAGGTGTCCACTATAGAGAGGTTTCGGTGTAGTTCGATCAAAATCAGATGTATAAGTATTTGTGTTATTTGTACGAATTAAATTAAAGATTGAGAGTAAGGATAAAAGTAATGTCGACATATAATTTAAAAATATTCAAAAGTGAATTTTTAATTCATAAATTGTAACAAAGTACTATGGGTGAGAAAATGTTATAGGATCTAATATCGAAGAACAACTATTATAGACTCCTCAATTTATATATATATATATTTCAACAATGTCAAAATAAAAATTACAAAAACAAATGATCAAAAGATGGAACATAAAAATATCGAAAATGCAGACATCATTTAGATAAGTAAATAAATGTGGAGATCTAATTATAATATGGAATTGACGTATAGATGTAGTATATGGATAGCCTATAAAAGCTAATATTTTTCATCCAGTCGTTTACATTCTTGATTTCTTTGATATGTTGTACTATGGTAAGAAATAAAGGGTGTGGGTGTAGCTGTTCTCTTCGTGCTCACACACATTTACCCACATCCACCCACACCTACACTCTGCAAATGGTAGACTAAATTGATTTAAGAACATGTCTGAGCTCTGGTCTAACTGTTATAATGGTATTAGCTGTTTTATTTTTTTTCTCTCGTTTTTATCACCAATAGAAGTAGAATGGAGTAAACTACATTGACTTATTAGATGCAAATTTTGAATCAATATTTCCTATCATTGCATAATTTACACTGACTTTTCAAGAATCAAATGATACTATTACAACAAATTTTCTTCATTAATTTAATGACACGTATAACAAAATGAGTAAAACAAGACCAGAAAAAGTAAATTACATGATGATTATTATAGACAGTTATTCAAATTACAAATACTCTCATCCTCGAAACAATAAATACTATGTCAGTCAATATATATCTAATCTGAAAAACGAAGCTCAAAACACTTGTGACAAGGTGACAAGTAATGATAGTTATTTCAATAAATAGTTGCTATCAAATAATATGTTCTGATTAACTACATTGACAGTGCAAACACAATAAAAACCGACTTTCGTCAATGTATCCTAACAAAAAACCATTATAGAAACTACGTAATATCGTTTGCATATATCTATAGTTCATTAACATGAAATATTCAAAGAAAACTCTTTGTTAGTCTGATAAAACATAATTCTCTTAACAGGATAAACATAGCAATCAATTGTTATAAATATTCATGATATCCGATATTTTGAACGATAATGAAAGAGAAAGAAATAATCTCTTTTTTTTTTCTTTCATTCGTTTAATGATTTGATCATTGTTAGTTTGGACCAAAAAAAAAGAAAAACATATCATTATTCTCATCGGTGATTATTGATGACATCGGTCAAAAAAGAATGAAATTATCATATATAAATATTGACGTCTATATACCAAAAAAAGCACACAGAGGTGAAGATAAATATGGAACATTTATCGATTCAATTAAATGATTTACCAGATGAGATTATTATATTTATTTTGAGAAAATTGTATGATGCCGAAGTACTCTATTCATTAATAGGAGTTAATAAACGACTCAGTACAATTACAAATGATTCAATTTTTACAAGTCACTTAACATTAACATATTTCTCAGATGATTTTCACTATCCACTACCTGATCCAATGGTTGATCGATTTTGTTCAAAAATTTTACATGAAATTCATCATAAAATAAAATGGCTTAATCTTGAATCAACATCTATACAACGTATTCTTCGTGCTACAAATTATCCTAATTTATATGGACTTGGTTTATATGGTATTGATGTAGAAGAAGCGATATCTCTCTTTACTGGTAACCTATTTTAATTCTCAATAAATAATAAGCACATCAAAATTGATTATAATTCGTTTCATTGTCTTTATAAAATAGTGGAGAAAATCATTCAGGAATCTAAGTATGAATTTCCATGTTATATTATTAGTTTGAAATAAATTGAACAAATCAATATTGAAAATAATTTGTTTGTTTCTCAAGATATTTTTTATTTTATTTAGATGATATTACTTTTACCTGTATAGTCAAAAGTCAAATATCATCATTGGTTATCGATATTAGTCGAGATAAAAAACAAATTTTGTCAACAGATATCAATAAAACTGTATTTACACATATCTTTACTATGTTCAACAATTTACAGTATTTAAATTTCGGTCCATCTTCAATTTGGTATCAACGAATTTCATTTGACATGCCATTTCCAACTATTACTTCTTTAAATTTGTTAGAATTACATATTTGTGTGGATTATTTCAATGATTTGCTTTATTTACTTGATGGACGTTTCAATCAACTACATACATTAGATGTTAATATCTATCATATTAAATACACCCATTCAACAATTAATAGTGGAGTAGATTGTTTCTGATTAATATCAAATTTGTTTTAATAAATTGAATATTATTCTCTTTTCTAGGAAAAATTAGCTAATCTAAAATGTTTCTCGCTATATTCTGATATGCGTACACTTGTTTATGATGAATTAATTCTACCATTTCTACATCGAATGTTGAACTTAGAAAAACTTGATTTACATCTTAAGGTGGATCGTCATAAAGGATTTATTAATGGAAATGATTTAAAAGAAAATATTATCAATTATATGCCACGATTAAATAAATTTACATTTAATATTCGTTTATTCAATCATATTTCTAATAAAATTATTTTACCTTCAAATGAAGATATTCAATATACATTCAAAGATTTTAAAGATATTCAAGTTATTTCTTGTGTTGATTTTTTTCAAGAAGAAAAATTTCGTTACTGTCGTATTTATTCATATCCATATAAAATGAAATATTATGATAATATTTCAAATAATTTTCCGGGTGGATTATTTAAATATGTTCATAAAGTATCATTATATGATGAATATCCATTTGAACATGAATTTTTTCTTCGAATTGAAAAATCATTTCCATTCATGAAAGAATTAACTGTAATTAATGCTAAACCACAAAAGAATAAATTATATAGAAAATCAATGAGTGACAATAAAGATTTATCAATTATTAAATATCCTCATCTGACTGATCTCAATCTTATTCAAGCTCATGATGATTATGTCGAACAATTTCTAGTTGATACGGAAATGTCTTTGCCAAATCATCTTCATCTTACTGTCAATTATCAAGCAATGAAAATGGTTACTGAAAATTTCACAAGAAATACAACACGAATTAATTGTACAAAACTGCGTTCTTTACATCTATGGAGGGCATGTGGAGATACTAAACATGTTAAAGACTATTTTCCTCATACACACATATTTGGATTTGTAAATGATTGATAAAATAAAACATTGAAAGAAAACGAATTAATTTATATAGAAAGAAGCTATTACAATGGAGAGAAATGAATCAAAGAAAAATTCTAGTTCGAAATAAGTATTTATGAACACATTATTACAAATAAAAGCATGCTCACCAACTTATGCATATCTTTTCGTAAAAAATCGGAAATCAAATCATAAATGAGAAATATTGATTTGTATTGAATGAGAAGTATGTTAATGAATGTCACTAGAAATTTGTTTGTTTTCCAAATTCACGTTCTTTTTTTTTGAGTTAATTGTGACAACTGAACGTTTTAAAGCTAAATTGAAATACGGTCGAAGTGTTGAATGTAAATCAATAAGAAAAAAATTGATCCAATAATTTAAACAAGTATAACTTTGTCAAAAATAAAACAGTGTCAAGATATTATTTGTATACATATCTATTGAAAATAGAGTAAGTCCGATAGTTATTATCGATAGAAAAGCATAAGATTGACATGTTCAACTCTTCCATTTATGAATGTTAAATCAGTTCGAAAGATTTTATTTGTTGTTGTTAATTATGGATATCTTTTTTTCGAATATTTTCGATAGTGTAATTCAATTGCTTTCCAAACAATTAAAATTATTACTACAATTAATTATGATTCCTGTTGAAAACACTCAAAAATCTAAACTTATTTTCATATATTCGAACTCAAAACGAAATATTTAAATCTTAATTCACCGTTAAATTTGAATACTTATCTCTAATGAATGTACTGAGTTAAAGGTACTGAAAAAAGTACACTGCTACTATTATGTCATAGGAACTTTTGAGTACTTGAGTATCTTAAAGTCAAGGGAGAAAAAGCGAAACTCTCTACTTCAGCATACTTCACTGTACTCCAAAGCAATGTCAAAGCTACTCTTGAGATCTTTTTAGCTATTTAAAGTCTACTATTGCCATGTGTCACGACATGTTAGGTGGAGTCCAGTCTATGGAAATCTATGCGACAATAAATCTCAAATATTTCATTGTACTTCACTGATACTTAAATTTTGAAGTGCAATGTGGTATTTGACTTTTACTACCAAATATACTTGCATGTACTGGACTTCGTCTAATATGCTGTGACACAGATGAATATTAGATTCGAAATAGCTAAAAAGTTCTTAAGGATAGTTTTGACATAGTCTTAAACTACGCTGAAGTACTGAATTGTTTCTTTTTTTCTCCTTGCTTAAATAGTTAAAGTACTTTTAGGTACCTATTGGACACTTTACTTGCCACCCTGCGGAAGTGTTCAGTAAGTGGGTATCTGGAGGTACTGCTTAGATACTCACTCAGGAATTAATGTATAAAAATTCTATAGGTATCCTGTTGAAAAGTTCTAGAATATTCGCGATGGAACCTCTCCCTTGTCTTTCTTTCATACTGCGTTCCTCTACTATAATATTTTTTCGAAAACATAAATGTGATAACTATTGTTGGAATTTTTAAAAAATAGTCTCCACCACTTTTTGAATAACTCTCGATCGCTTATAGCTATCGAGCTCAAGTTTTCGCCGTTAGAAAGAGCAAGTGAGAGGACATCTATCTATATAGAATTCATAAGGTTCGAATAAGTTTTTCATGAGTGTTTTTGAGCGAACATCTTTTACTTTGTCCTTTTTCATGAGTTTTCACAACAATCTACGCTTAAATTATTATCAAATTCTAGCCCAAAATGACTTTTTTTCCTGATAAAATTTTTAAATCTCTCTATAGTTTATTTGAATTAATACTTCAAAGGTATGGTTTTAAAATACGAAAATTTTACCAGGAATAAAGGTCATTTTGTACTATAATTTAGTATAATTTAAGCGTAGATTGCTGGAAAACTCATGAAAATGAACAACGAAAAAGATGTTCGTTCAAAAACATTCAGGAAAAAATTATTCGAACCTTATGAATTCTATATAGGTAGATATCCCCTTACTTGTTCTTTCTAATGGCGAAAATCCAAGCTCGATAGCTATAAGCGATCGAGAGTTATTCAAAAAAATGGTGAAGGCTATCTAAAAAAAATCCGCCATTAGTTATTATATTTTTCTTTATGTAAAGAAAATCATTACTTTTACCTTGTCTTCGATTAATATAAAAAGAATTAATGAAGCGCTAGAAATACGGACGTTAGAATTTCTAGGTATCAGATTATATAGAATGAAAAAGATTTAATATATTTTCGAAAATAAAAGAAGACTTGTTAAACAGAAAAAAAATGACACCCTCACATTACTGATTTGAATAAATCTAACAATAAATAAGAAATCACACATATACAATAGATACTTAACAAAAAGAAAAATGAAAATTATTTATTTAGATTGATGACTCAAAGGAGATACAAATATTTATATCAATGGAAGAAAATTAATACAAACTCATTGAATAATAAATTATAATCATCGTATTTACATTATGATAACAGATACTTCGAAGATTTTTTACAGGAAACACTTCAAATATACTGACTCCATCCAGAATCAGTTTTTTCCCACCAATTTACAAGTAGAATCACGAGCTCAATGAAGCTTTCTGAGTTTTAACTAAAAAATGATAGTAAAAGAAATATTTCGACCTAAGTATCTTTTCATTTTTTGATGTACATCAGAGGTGTGTGCGCCAAAGATTTTTCATACTCCGCGGGCTCCATCCCGCGATTTTCGCTTCCCTCGCCTCGCCTACCCCGTGAACTAGTTTTTTAAACAGCCTTGTCTCATGAGTGATTTTTTTGCTACATCATCCTGCCTGGCTGCCTCGTCCCCGTGCAACTTATGTAACGTTTATCAATCACAAAATTTGGTTTTATTCGTCTACTCTGCATTGCACATCAAGTTTTTTAAATGAAAAATCGTTTTACTTTCGGATCCAGAAAAAGGATTTAAATGTAGAAAAATTGTTTAGGATAAATGTTTAAAAAGATATTAATAAACTGAGTTAGCTGGAAAGAAATATGATGATCATGATTGGTCTTCCTGACATTTGTATGACTTAAATAGTCTACTTGACTGTTTGTTTATGCACCAGTCGAGTTACAAGAAATATATGATGCAAATTTTCCAGTAACGTAGTGGCAATGACTTTCATCTTTTACTACAGTAGTGACACATAGAGTTTACCGCGGAGATAGCTTTGCAATATTTGTTCTGTAATTTTACACAATTGTATTCTCTCCGGTTTCTTTTTTGCGAGGACTAGGTAGCCTATTTATTCTACATAGTTCACACTGTCAATTGAGCCTTAAAGAAGTAATTGCAAGCAATTGAATACCAATGAACAATTTTTAATGAGATCGTTACATTGGAGGGTTTATCTGGTAAAAATTCATAACTTTGGATTTTGAACATTGATAAAGATAAGGACTATATTAAATATCGATTCTAAGAATCAAATGATTTGTAATAACTTTTTCACGAATTGACCAACGTTCAATATGAAAGACGATATGGAACAAACAAATCATGAGCCAAACCGCTCTCTATAGGTCAAAAAATAAGGGACTACTATTTGTTTCAAAAAAATGCGCACGATTTCGAGTTGAATAATGCGAGAATGCAAATAGCTAGAGACTTATGGTTTTCACCATTAGCAAGAAGAAACCGGAGCACGTAGATATATATAAAAAGAAAAATTTTCGAACAGGTCTAAGGGATTTGAGGCAAATCTTTAGAAAAGTAGCTTACCAAATGTAGAAGACGTGATGGATATTTGATTCGAATTAGTACATTTGATGCGCAAGATCCTTTTCTACAATTTTACGCCAATTGCAGGCCTGTACAACATTCCGTTCAAATGCTAGAGCTCATGTAGTAAACCTGTGAAAAAAAACAGATTTTCAGCCCGAAAAGCATGCTTCCATGCTCGATACATTTCCCAAAGCGATCGTCTCAAAGGTTGTGGCCTCGTT